TTAACCATTAGCACTCTGTAGGTTACTACTTTTCGCCAAGCAAAATAGTAGTTCTGCCAATGTAAGTTGAATTTGAATTTCTTGGTTGTGTAGTCATATCCTTCTATGGCAACACTTAAAAAAATCTTGACTGAAATTGAGAGCCAGGCTACTACAATTTCAAATATATAGAACTAATATATATAAAACACTATATTTTGAGAGGATTCCATATACAGTAAAAAGGGACGTAATCTTTAGAAATGATGCAGAGTGCTAAATGTCAAAAAGAATAACAAAATACCCCCTTTTTTTAACCCACTTAAATAAATTGAATAGGTTAACAAGCCAAAGTGAACAATTTGAAATTGATGAGGTATATAAGATAAAGAAAAAAAGTATATTCTACAAGAGAGATCAATCTGTCGCAGATGCACACACACACATTATATATATATATATATATATATATATATATATATATATATATGTGTGTGTGTGTGTACACACATATTTTTAAGCAAATGAAGGAAAAAGTGGGAAAATCAGAATAAAGTAATATAGTTATTGATGAAATTATATATGAGTAGGGAGAGGGGCAGAGACAAATATAAATGCCATTTATAATTATACACTGAAAGGGTCTCCCTGCTCCCCAACTAACTGTATATAATTCCATCAATAAGAAAATTACTTTAGCCTGATGAAGTCTTTTCAGAGGACGAAACATGTTATGCAGAGTTTTTTTTTTTTTTTTTACTTTGTCATTCAGTTGCTTAACATTATTCTGATAGATAGAAATTTAGGCACTACTTTGGCTTGTTATCTACAAGGAAAAAAAATTATCTACACCATACGATTTTTATTTTGAAACGATATCTACATAGTTATATATATATATATATATATATATATATATATAGAGAATGTAACTAAAATATTAAAAATTTTCTTTTATTTATATTCTAGTGATAAACAGCATGTGCATTAGCTAAAAGTCTACAATGTACAAATTTTAATTTGAAATGATATCTACAGGTAAAAAAATATATATATATATATATATATATATATATATATATATATAGCATAGCATAGATAAAATATAATTAAAATATTAAAAATTTCTATTAATAATATTCTAGCAATAAACAGTGCATACATCGGCTAAAAATACTAAATAGATATCAGGATGGTAGGTTGTATATCAAAATAGATTCATGACGCAGAGATAACAAGCCAAAGGTAACACCAAAATTTATCATATTCTCCAATACACACACACACACATATATATATATATATATATATATATATATATATATATATATATATATATATATATATATACACACACAATCACACGAAACAAAGGTAACAAATCCGTTGGTATATAAACCAAGTGGATCCTAGTAATATAAAATATTAAAACTGATCCACAAAAAGAGCTCAATGTATTTATTATTACAGAGCAAATAATTGATACACAGTCAAATCCAAAATCACCTCATATGGTGAATAAGCTTATTTCGGCAGACGAAAAAATATAATTCATCCGTCTTATTCAACCCTGGTATAGACTGAGTTTGTGTCAGTAATAGAAATTAACTATGAAAGCTATATTAAAAAAAAAAAAAAATTGAAAAACCAATACAGAATTTATCCAATGTTTCAGTCAGTTATACATACATACATACATATATGTGTGTGTGTGTGTGTGTGTGTGTGTACACACACACATTTATATATAAACCATAGTTAATGGTCAAAGGTATTATATATTTATTTTGGCACTTAACTAAAGAGATTCAATGTTAGTTCGTTTTATGTCCAAAGGTCAGCTGAAAAGTTCATAGGTTGACCAAGATATAAATGTAAGTAGATACATGAGTTGGTAAACTAAAAGACATGCAAGTGTACCAGAATACAACAGCTGGTCAACCAGATAACTTTTCAGCTGACCCTTCATATCTATGTACAATGAATGTAGAATTACTTGTAATGGACATGGATTGAATTGGAAAGTAACTGGATTTATACTGTCAAAGAATCTATAAATCATATTCAGGAAAATATCCAAGAAAATTTATATCTCATGAATAATTTAGAGACATAATTTTTTTAAAAAAAAATAGAAAAGAAAAGCATAAATGTTTTTTTAAAAACAGATAATACTCCAAATATTACGCACAATCAGTAAATCATCATACTGTTGTCAAATTTGAGTGGTTTTAGGTTATACTTGGAGGAAGAGGTCCTTAGCTTTCATGTGATTCTGAAAAGAATTCTTTTATTACTCAAAGAAGTTTAAGCAGTACCAATTTTAAAAAGACTGCATCAACGGTGCCTATCCAGTCATGGAATGATCGATTGAATCTATGAGAGACCAAAATAGAAATAAAGTTGACTTATGTCGACAGTAAAAGTTGAGGAATGTATGGTTTGTTAAATCTGTGAGAGTTAATAAGAGAACATGTGCTACATACATACATGCATGACATTTTACATGCATACATACATACATGGACAGTTGTGTACACATACACTCATGGCAGAGAATTCTTTGCACTGATTATTTCATATGTATAAAAGATCAAACATTAACTGTTTTCTATACTGAAATATTTACATCTCTAGGTAATTTGTTAATTCCTGTAAATAATTCCAGTTGTATTGTTATAATACTGTAGGGACATTTTCTTTTCACCCTTCCAAAAAAAAAAAAAAAAAAAAAAAAAAAAAAAATTGTGTTTAGAAACACAACGGGTGTAAAAAATAATGCTTATCCCTTTAAGGCTAGAAGCACCCAAATTTACCAGCAAGTTTCACAACTTAGAGTCTAAGAGCACCTGAATATGCCTGCAACCGGGTAGCAGTTTATTTCATCACACAGTGTTAACATCCATTACATGATCAACTAGAGGTTCCAGAAATCTCCAACTTTGGAAAAGTTGGAGATTTATAAAACCATTATCTAATAAGCAGTAATACTAAGGAGACTAAATTTGATATTATTTCAAAGAGAAATCAATTCCCTTTCATATAAAAATCAACTTTTAATGTTTGATTTTCAACAGTTTTCCAAGATTTATCAATTGCACAAACATCACATATTCAGATTTTTCAACAATTTGGTCAGGATTTCATTGATTTACCAATTGAAATCTTTTAAGGGCTGATAGGGTTTTTGAAGGTCTCATGAATTCAGTAATATAAAAAATACAAAAAAGTTATTTGTGCAGGATTTAAAGGGTTAATAAAATTTCATGAATTGTTTGTTGTTGTTTTTTTTGTTTTTTTTTGTAAGTACTGGTGATGCAGGACTCATTGAATATTCAGAAGTACAGCAGGGTCAGTCCTTAAGCTTAACAGGTCACCAGCGTAAATTTAATAGCTTAATGAAAGACTAACGCCCTTACTGGGAAGAGCTCACCATCTGGAGAAATCAGTTCACAGATTTATGCATAGTTGAAAGATAAAAGGAAATAAAATTCTTTGAATGAGAAGTAAACTAATTCTTTTTCAAGTTTCTCATCTGCCTTGCAAACCACCATTTTTTTGCTGCCTGTAAGCATTCATTTCTTATTGTTTTTACTACAAATTTTCATCAATACTACAAGAAACTTACCAAAGCATTTAACTTTTCAAAGATCATAATATTAAAATGCACAAGTAACTGCAGGCATGAACCCATTCATTTTAATTTTTAATAAAATCCTTTACTTTTAATATAACCAAGTGAATTTGGTTTTAATTTGTCATCTCCAATATGGAGATGAGAGCTATAACTCACTTTAAAGTAATGGTTAAAAAGCTATTCTAGCAAGCCATTATTAATATGTTGTGAGGTCAATCCTCACTGGGTGCCCTATACTTGAGGCATTGGCTCAGGCTAAGCTAAGACACCTCAATGTTGGGTTAATGAACTAATTGAGAAGACCATTTTATTATGTAACAAGTTCAATTCTCAGTGGGTACTCCATACTGGTGTCCTTGTGCCAGACTAAATAATGAATTAGTAAATAGACTAACAAGATGTACCTATATATGAATGAACTTCCTTTATGAAAGTTAGACAGTAGATTTAAACAAAGATAACAGTCACACCTTATGAAACTAAATGCCTTGAAAGAATCCCAAATAGTTCATATTTACTTGGCTGTGAAATTAAAATATTGTCATCTGAGATGTTGAAAGATAATCTAATAAAATGAGAAAAAAAGATAGAAACTAAATAAAAAGGTTTATAAGTAATCAGCCTGTCTACACATTAATTGAACACAACCATTTTATAATTGCTGCCTACAGGCAAGATATCTAAGTGGCTTTACCAGGTGTAATGGAAGCCGAGCACAAAGGAAGTGGAAAGAATTTTTTTTCATCCTTCAGATTTTTTTATAAAAAAAAATCTTCCAGAGAAAACATTGATTTAAGGTTTATCATATATATATATATATATATATAAAAAAAAAAAACTTGAGTAATCCAAAGTGCATTTATATTCATAAACATAAAGATTTCCTTGCTAACATGGAGATCTTATCAATCACTGATACTGACAAGGCAAAGTTATCAGTGTAATAGTCAAATGAGTAATTTTAGTAATTTTGTTAAAAAATATAAAAAAAAAAAAAACAAAAAAAAAAAAACGTGGAAAAGAAATTGTTTTTCGTTTTTCTCTCTCTTTTCATAAAATGGACGTTGGACTTTTAAAGTTTTAAACCTCTTGATGTGGGTTCTACTAATTAATGAAAAAAGAGGAGAGAGAGAGAGAAAGAAAAGAATAACCCAAGTAGTAACAAAGGACTGGGGGGAGGGGAATGACTTTTTCCTTTCAATTTCTTATTGATTTTTATCAAAAAATTTCTTTCCTTTCTAAAAACTTGAACAAAGATGTTCAGATATTTCAGTTGTTTACTCTAAGTCCAACGCAATGGAAAGATTTGTTATCTTTGATATTTTTGTTTACTTTTTTTTTTTATTTTTATTTTTGGCTCTTTTAAAAAAGGGAAGTTCAAAGGTCATAAGACAATTTGCTGTACAGAAGATTCCGGCAGAGGCCTTGAAAGTTCTGTCCAACATTCCGCATTTGTCTGAGACTCTGAAAACAAAGAACCGAATGCACATTCTGGCACTACCTCTGATGCAGCTGGCACTGGGGCAGGCATTGTTACTGCTGCTGTTCCAACTGGTGCGGTCATCTCAGACGTTTTGATCCCTGCAAGATTCAAGAGGGCATCAGCACCCTCAGCAATTTTCTTTTTCTCATCCTCATCCAGAGTAAGGAGGTGTTTTTTGCTGCGATATTGCCTGCTGTTTAGCCTATCTTTGTTTTCGCTAGTAGAGCACCTGGGTGACCGTTGTTGGGGTCCTGTCGAGGGCAGGGTAGTGACAGTAGTGGCTGCAGTAGCAGTGGCTGCAGAAATGGTGTTAGTGGGGGTGAGGGTGGTTGGTGTGGTGACAGTAGCAGCAGCAGACCGCGTTGGGGTACTGTTTTCCTCTTCCTCCCCACTGACACTGCCTTCTTCAAAGTCACTATGGTAACTGTCAAAATCAGTGTAGTCCTCCTCCTCCTCCTCATCATCATCGTCGTCGTCTTCATCCTCATCATCTGCTTCAGGGCCAAAGTCATATTCATCATCAATAGAAGAGCTGGACACATCATGACTATCATCATCAGTTGCAGGAGTAGATGTGGCACTATAGGTGTGGTCTTCACTTGGACTTGTTGTGCATATAATTGGACCAGACATCTTCTTGCGAACAGGGCCATAAGGAACTCCGCTGAGTGGGAAGAAGAAAAGAAAGAAAAAAAGAAATTCATTTACAACAGTGATACTAAAACAGGTGTGTGTGTGTGTGTCTGTCTTGGGGGGTCGGGAGTAACACTTGGATTCCAGTGGAGGAATTTAAAATCTCAGGCAAAGAACTTTAGTCATATATACAAACCAAAAACATAATGATGAAATGAAGAATTGAAAAAAACTGGAATTGCTTCACATGTATTTGAGAAATGGTCCTTTCATGACTGTTCAGACTTTTTTTAAAATTTTTATTTTTAGATAAGTAGTTTTAACCATTATATATATATATATATATATATATATCAAGAAATCAAAAGAAAATGGTTGGATCTGTCATCACAACAATAAAAACAATATTTCTACACATGAAAGTACTTGACATAATTTTCAGTTGACAATATGAATATAATAGCGTTTTCTAAATTCTTATAGTTGCTAAGGACATTTCATTTGTTGTTAATAATTACTTTGTTTTCAATACATTCATTTCTTTTTTGCCTTGAAAAAAAGTCCACGTTGGGTGAAATGAATCAGCTAATAATACAGTTTACTTATTGTCTTTTATATATATATATATATATATATATATATATATATATATATATATATATCAATGATCCTCAAATGGGAAGCCCTTGGCTTTCAGGGGAGGAATTTCAATCATATCTACAAGTCATAAGTGTAACACTGATTGACTGACTGATTTTCTACAGCTTATCAACCCTTTGCAGGTTATTTAAAGCCAGAAAATATTTTTAGATTGTAAGAATAATTTTTTGGTGGTTGTAGGGACGGGCAAATAATAATGGTTTATTACTACAAGTCTTACTAATTAATTAACCCATAGTATTCCCAAACAGTCACCAATCTAGGTAATGACCAGGCTCAACATTGTTTAATTTTAATGATCGTACAGGAACTAGTGTTTGAATGCCTAAGTGAAACATTGAAAAAATTACTTAACAATTCAAAATCAGGGAAGAATTAAGAAATCCTTTGATAGCAAAAGGGGAACAATGTGTTTATTGACTGATCTGCTCATCAAAAATAGGGATAAACAAGTACTAAGGGAGGAAAAAAGTACAAGATCATTACTAAGCAATTACCAGTGATGTAATCACAGTTTCAAACTTGGCATTTATTATCTCTCTCAATTTGTATGTGACTTCATTTGCTTTACAAAAAGTTTATCCTGCCACTGAACCCAACTGATCCCCGAATTTGAATTTGTTTGAATTTCATAGTTGTGTTGTCATATCCTGCTATGGCAACAGAAAACAACTTTGAGTGATATTAATAATAAGTGTACTGTAACCGAGAGACCTTCAAAAATAATGAAGTGGATAGGGAAATAATATAAATAATGCAGAGTGCTAAAGGTTAAAGAAAAACAGTACAGATAAAGAAATCGGAAATTACTTTGATATTCTATTTATATAATGAACAGAGCCCCTCACTTCTAAAATGTTAAGAAAAACAAACAAAAAAAGACTATTTTTCCATTCTGACAAATGTAATGGCTTCAGAATGGTTTAACAAATGGTACAGTGGAGTAATGGATAGCAGCTTGGCTTGAGGAATCGGAGAGCCGAGTTCAAATTCCAGTCAAATCCATTACATTCACTTATGTGCTAATACTCTTGGGAAAGGTATGAATCTTTTCCCCTCAGCTATAGGTAAATAGCAGGACAGACCAGGTCCTATAGCCTTGGATGGCAACTGGTATGCCACAGAAAGAAATGGCAACCTACTGTGGGGAAAAATCTGCCTTGTCAGTCATGTACCAAAAGATACATAATCGCCTAAGCAAGTATCACACATGGCACATAACTGACTGACAAAATCTACAATATATATTATAAATTAATTGATTTAAAATATGTTTTTTTTTCTGCTACACAGTTCTAACCGGCACTTAAATGAATCCAATAAAACACCTACTGAAAAATGAAATTATAACGAAAAGCTAGATGATGTAGGCCTGTGAACAACCCATGTCCTTTGTACATACATATGAAACTTTATTACTTAGTTTATATATATTTAAAATAAATAAATAAATTAATTAATTAATAAAGTTTACTAAATCTGTGAAATGAATTAGCTATTCTTCCAGTAAGTGCCATAAATATTACTTAAATAATATTTAAATATAAAAGTTTAAAAATTGTAATATACATATACTTTGATATAGAAAAATAATTTTACTTACTATAAGTAATTTCAGATACATTTCCTTCTGTTATAAAGTAATATAGTCTATTAAAAATAACAATGAAAAATATTTTAAAGTTGTAATAAAAATTGTAGTTAAATAAAATGAATTTAACCTAAACTTCTTTTTACTTAGTACTACACTTAAAAGAATCCAATAAAACACCTATAGTAAAATAAAATTAATATGAAATGCCAGAAGATGTAAGCTTATAAAAATGTCCTTTGTACTTACATGAGAAACAATATATTACTAGGTTTTATATTATAAAAATGTTTACTAAATCAGTAAAAACTGAAAAAATGAAATTATAAATAAAAAGATAATGTTTTGTACATACATATGAAACTTTTATTACTTAGTTTATATATATTTAAAATAAATAAATAAATTAATTAATTAATAAAGTTTACTAAATCTGTGAAATGAATTACATTCTTCCAGTAAGTGCCATAAATATTTTAAATAATATTTAAATATAAAAAAAATTGTAATATACATATACTTTAAAAATAAATTAATTTCAGATACATTTCCTTCTGTTAGTAATATAGTCTATAAAAATAACAATGAAAATATTTTAAGTTGTAATAAAATAAAAGTTAAATAAAATGAATTCTAACCTAAACTTCTTTTTACTTAGTACTACACACTTAAAAGAATCCAATAAAACACCTATAGTAAAATAAAAATTAATATGAAATGCCAGAAAAAATGACCCATGTCCTTTGTATACATGAGAAACAATATATTACTAGGTTTATATATATAAAAAATAAAAGTTTACTAAATCAGTAAATTAAGTAACTATTTTTGCCGTTATTGTCATAAATTTAAAAAAAAAAAAAATGTACCCTAATATACATACTTATACTTGTTGTAAAAATAATCCTACATAATATAAGGGATTCTAATACATTTAACTGTTCATTAAAAAAAAAAAAAAAAAAAAAAAAGACATACAGTATAATAAAAATTAAAAATGAGAATATTTCAAATCATAGTTAAATAAAAACTAAAAAGTATCCTAAACTGAACATCCCCGAAAATCTTTAAATTTACAAATAGGAAAAAAAATGCCGTAAGAATTCTTTTGCCGTTAACAATAGATTTAAAAAAAATCCAGATGACATGCATTCAACGGATGTCAGTTCTCATTGAAAAATACATCCCTACCCCTTACCAAAATGTAGCTAATAACCGATACAATGATACAGACATAAGGAAAACCCAGACAACCCTTGTCCAATTGAAGTAGATTTATCTGCAACCATGGAAACGGGATTTTAGCTGTGTCTTTAAAACCCAGTAATTTAAAAAGTTACTCCAAAATTCACTTGAGGATGAAATGGAACTAATGTCTTTAATTTAATTGCAAAATTAAATTCATGGCTTTTTAGCTTCCATTTTTTGAAACATGGTTAGAACTGTGTGGAAAAAAAAACATATTTTAAATCAATTAATTTATAATATTAATGCTCTGTAAATTTACATTGAGCACTATTTTGTAAAAAATAAAATATCTATAAGAACACCGGATTATATATCTTACTGTTCTTTATATATATATATATATATATATATATATATATATATATATATATATATATATACACACACACACACACATATACATACATACACCCCACCCTCCAAAAAGACTTCCTGATTTTTTTATGTGCAGACCAGTCAATTTAAGAAGTGCTGTAATGTGACCTGGGACTGATTGTTCTTGATTTTATAAAAGAAGAAACAAAATTGAAAAATCTGAAGCTATGAATCCAAAGAAAATAATTTTATAAGCAAAAGATCTAATCAATGGTGCTGTACAATGTTGGCTTGATATAATGCTCTTACCAAATCAATGTTAGATTGATAGTCCTAATTACTGCTCAACTGTGCCTGGTTGCTCTTACAGCCATTCAAAAATAAAGCTCCCCAAACTTAACTATATTCAATAATATCAGTTTACAATAAGTAAAATTATACAAAATATAAATCAAGATGCTAAAATAAAAAAAATATAAAAATAAAAAAAAATGCTGTTAGGCAAACCAAATTCTGTAGGCTTAATCACATTGGACTGATATTTTCTCTTTCTTTTATTATTTCCAAGAAACCAAAAGAAACTTTTAGATAAAATAGTAAAGGAAAGCAAGAAGAAAAGACTAACTGTAAGTCATCAGCAAAAGACACAGTCCAAGATATGAGGCATGGACTGAGGATGTCAAAATCACGAAAATACAGAAATTGATTGATTCATTTTCTATAGCTTAACCATTTGCAGGTTATTTAAAGCCAGAAAATATTTTTAGATTGTAAGATTTTTGTGTGTGTGTGGGGGGAGATAATAATAGTTTAGTAATACAAGTCTTACTAATTAACCCATAGCTGGGGAGAGAAGTGGTGGATTCATGCCTTTATCAAGGTTATTTGCATGTAAGTGAAAATAAACTTAACGCAAATTGGAACTCAGCTCTCCAATTAACAATTCCAAGCCATTAACCATTACACCACCCACACATCCAACCTTACAGCCTTTTCTATTCCCAAGCAGTCACCCGTCTGGGTACTGACTAGGCTTGACATTGTTAACTTCAATGTTTCAACATGTGGTTGCAAGTGGAGATTTTTATATATATATATATATATATATATATATGGATGTCCGGGTTTCAATTCTCGGTAGTGGATGCGCACTGCTGATGAGTCCCAAATATAGGACGAAATGGCCGTCCAGTGCTTTCTGCATTCTGTTGAGGTTTCTTCTAGACTTGATGAATTACTTAATTATCTAAAATCCTCCTTAATTTCTATCATATATATATATATATATATATATAAATAAAAAGGAGGCTTCATACTATTAACCAGTATCAATATTTATCTTTACTCTGTATTGACCCTCTTTTAAATTTAATGTTATAGACAGTGGAATTATACTTCATTTGTTCTTATCTCACCAATAGATAGATAGATACTATATATGTACTTAGGTTTGAATATTCAAAATAGTATTGGTGGTGAAACTTCTAGTAAGAGTCTCATTCATGGATATTATCAATGTTCCTCACTTTAAAAATATTCAAGTAAACATATTCCTTGTTATATGTAGAATAACTAGAAGACCTGTTGGTTTTAATTACAACGGCTTTGCCATGACGGAAAAAGGCACACAAAAGGTAACATTTAAGTTACCCACCAATGAAATAGATTCATTTTCTATAGTTTATCAACCCTTTGTAGGTTATTTAAAGCCAGAAAATATTTTTGGATTGTAAGGAATCTTCTTTTTTTTGGGGGGGGGTGGAGAGATAATAGTTTAGTCTTACTAATTAACTCATACCTTTCCCAAGGGTATTTGTATGTAAGTAAAAATAACTCAATGGGAATTGAAACTCAGTTCTCCAATTAACAATTCCAAGCCATTATCCATAACACCATCTGCACATCCACACTTACAGCAGCTGATATTCCCAAATGGTCACCCATCTAGGTACTGACCAGGCTTGATGTTGCTTAACTTCTATAATTGTACAGGAACCAGTGTTTCAATGCGATGCAGCCATAAGCCAAGGATTGTTTGTGATTAAAACATTAGTTTGCCTCATAAATCATTTCTGTTTTTATTTATCAACTTTATTCTCCAAAAAATAATATATAATTATATTTTATTCAATTATATATTCACCATTATTTGCAACATTTGTTGCCATTAATCAGGCAGCTATTCGATATCTTTTGAGTAAAATTCTGAAGGTTTTAATATGAAAATGTTTTCCACAAAGTCTTGAATTTGGTTTTCAAAGTTTCCTCCACATAAAAGTGTTTTGCAGCAATCCAAAAAGCTAATAATCAGTTGGTGTAATGTCAGGTGCATATGGTGAGTGAGGCAGAACAGACCAACCATGTTCCAAAGCATTTCCTTGTGTTATTCTTGCTGCATGAGGATTTGCATTGTCATGGAGAACAACATTTTTTTTTTTTTACTTTAATCTACCATGTACGCTACCATTGCCATTATGTTAGTGTAGTCCTAATTTGTTCTTAACTGCTACATATAATTACTAGTTAGGATGACAGATCCCAAAAAATGGAAATTACTTATTTTATCTTACAAAAAAGAGAGGAAAGTTATATATCAGTATTCAAGCTGAATATTTTAACTATTTAAAAAAATATCATTAAAAAAAAAAAATAAATTAAAAAAGTGACAGTGGATGAAGATATTTTCGACCACAAATTGTAGTGTAAAAAAAAAAAAAAATGAATAATGCTACATTTTAAGTAAGATGAATAAAAACTTTATTCAAATTAAATAAAAAATCATAAATAAAAATAGTAAAGGTTTGTAAAAATACTCACCGTTGTTTTCTTTTCAGTTTCACACGAGAAGTTTCTGAAGAATTCTCAACATCTGCTGATTGACCAGAATTTTCTGAGTAGAAATAAAACATTGTGTAAATGATAACTGTTTTGTCTTCAAAATTAAGGAGTTTGCTAACATGTAAAAATGATGAAACCAATACTGCATTCATTCTACAAAAACTTTTCAGATTCTTGAAGAATAAGATCTTTAAACAAAGTACAGAGGAACCTTGGTTCTCAAACGTCTCACATGTCGAACAAATCAGTTTTTGAACAGAAAATTTGAGATGAAAATTCCTCGATTATCAAACAAAATCTTTTGGTTCTGAAATAACATAGAAGAACCAAATTAACACAAATGGAATCATTTCTGAGTCGACTGCCATGTTGTATACATTTGTGTGTTGTGACGTGCTTTTCTTTTCCAATTTTATTGTACTGTGACTTTTTTCTCTACATTGATTCCTATTGGAAAAATAGGAAAAAAATGAACATTTTGGGTTACAAACGGCCTTGAAGAACGAATTAAATTTGTGAACTGAGGTTCCACTGTAGTGGAATTTTGGAAATGTTTAACGATTAATTAATTGATACAGAGTCTGCCAAGAAAAGACTTTCACTTGTGCGAATGCCTCATGTATTTGGAATATCAACACAAATGCTATAATGCCCAAATCTTAAAACAACAACCCTAGAGGGTTGGAGAACCATAACATCTCTATTTGTATTTTGTTTAAGGTCAGAAGTGGCCAAATGTCCCTGCAAGTGAGTAGCACTGTATTTCATTACACAGCATTAATGCCAATCACATGATTAACTAGACACAACATTAGAAATCTACAACTTTATTTGTTTTGTTTTGTTGTGTTTTACAGCATATCAACCTCAATGGGTTATTTAATGCTGACAACTCCCTACACCCTCGGTAAGGTTTCATTAAAAATCTATTTCTGGTAATATTTTTTTCTTCAAAAATGTAGAGCTGGTAATATTATTTTAAAACATGTATTGCTGGTAATTTTTTTTTTTTTTTTTCAAAAATTTATTTCTGTTAAATAATTTTTTACAAAGTATTTCTGGTATTAAAACTTATTTTTACACTTTTATAATGCTTTTTACCTCAGTTTCAGGGTTTATTTGCCCACAGCTGGGACCCTAACAGGTGCTACCACCCCGGGTGAGGGTGGACCTTGGAACACCAGCAATTAAGAGGTGGTTCCATGCTCCTCAAAATCTGATCAGAGGCCTTGCTGTTGGACGTAGTTTGTCATCTTACCCAGGACACGGATGTAGTCTCAGTTTCGGGGTTAACTATTTTTTCATAGATGGAACCCTAACAGATGCTACCACCCTGGGTCAGAGTGGACCTGGGAACACCAGCAATTAAGAGGTGGTTCTACACTCCTCAAAACCTCCTGATCAGAGGCCTTGCTGTTGGATGTAGTTTAGCGTCTTACCCAAGACACGGATGCAGTTTATTGTCATACCCAGGACGGCTACAACTTTGTAAAAAATGTTGATGTCCAAAACCCTATCTAATAACCATTAATACCAAGGAGTCTAAATTTGGTGCCATTTAAAAGAGAAATCAATTTTGACTTCTTCAGTCCTGGTAAACATGATACATAATATAACATGTCAGAATCAAAGTGGGTGATGTTCTTCTCCCACTCAAACCACAGGATGAATGTGGGGTGTGCAAGTTGGGGAATCTTGTCTGGGTCAAGATCCCAAAAGGTAGATAAACTACAAGATTCTAAGTTGACCTGGGGTCAATATCACAAAGTGGATCACATGACCAGGGGTCAATATCTAATGAGTCAAGACGATTACTAATTTATTATCCTTGAATCAAACATGTTTAAAATCTAAAAAGATGAAATATTTGCTTGCATTCCAAAGACATATGTTTTATATTAACGCTAGTGTACCTGCACCATCTGCTACAATGCCATTAACACTAGCATACCTGTGACATTAAAAATGTTGGCAATTATTAAGTTTTAATAGTGAGATGCAATGAGACAAAAGTCTTGAAACAATGTATTAATATTCAATAAAGCAGAGATAAAGAATTCACAACTAAAACAGAGGCCAACGAACCATTTAATTAATCCATTCCATATATATATATATATATATATATATATATATATATATATTAGACATTCAATGGTATCTATGATTTATTGATTGCTCCTGGTATTATGTAAATTGCTTTTTGTTAAAAAATGTGTCTGATATAAATGAAATGGAAATATCTCTCGGAAGAAAAAGACTGGCAACGGGACAACAAAGGCTATTTCAAGACCAAGTTGAAGATAATCACTTTATAGACAAAGGTATCTGAGTGTCTCACATGAAAGGCTTGAACAAATAAGACTGCAATCTAAGTGTAAAGGAATTGATTAATTATATGGTTCATTAAACTTGGTAAGTAATTTTGTCTAAATGCAGATAAATATTTTATTTGTATAGATTATTAAAATGACTAAGTAATCATTCATAAATTCATTAACTTAGGTTGATTCACTTCATTTCCCACTAGAAAATATATAAATAAATACACATTGATAATTATTATATGGTGTCATTCCTGCACAGTTTACTGACCATCTCTTTATAAGAAACAACTTACGATTATTGAAGCCTTTCATAGACATCAAAGTGTACGCCACATCATGGATGTCAGAATCTTAAAGAAAATGAATAAATAGATAAAAACAGGGTGATAAAAAAGGAAGAAAAAGAGAGAGAGACAAATAGGAAGATAAAAATAGGACAATGTTAGCATAAAGTGAATAGTTTTTAGAAACAGAAAGGAAATATTCAATGGTATATTTTATTTTCAAAAAATAAAAATATGATGAGTAAAAAAAAATAGAAAAGAATTATGAAAACTTAAAATTAAATTAATCAATCATGTTGACATTAGGTGTGTGAAAAGTTTCTAGAAAAAGAAAAAGAAAAAGAAAAAAGTTTTCATCTGTGGATTTAGTTTTGAAAAATAGCAGTTTTCACTTCTATATTTAGTGGGGGAAAAAAAAGGCAGTTTTCAACAATGGATTTAGTTTCCAAAAATATAAGTTTTCACCTGAATATTAAGTGTTTAAAAAAAAACAAAAAAAAAAAAAACAACAACAACAAAAAAACAAAAAAAAACAAAACAAAAACGTGTTCACTTGTGGATTTACTTTTCAAAAAGAGTTCAGGAAACTTTTGCACACACCTAATATTTAAGCATCAAATTAAAACATTCATTTTATAAAATTTAAAAGTTGTACATTCTCACCACAATGACAAATGTCCCTAAAGAGATGAAAACTCTGTATTGTGTTTTAATAAAATATTAAAGACAATTATCCATATCATTTTGAGGAACTAATTTGTTTTTTTAAGCATATTATCTACCTTATAATTTTCCTTAATGTGCTATGTCCTGTCAGAACACTGGTGATAATGACTACACAATTTCCTGTCCTTTATAGCTCTCAATTAATTTTGTCTTTATGTTATCACTCCTAAACCTTGTTTCACCATCCATTTACTCAAGCTCTCTAGGTGGTTTTCCTCTGTGCTCCTTGCCATCAATCTGTCCTGTGACTATCACATTTTCCAAGCCCTCTTTCCTCATTATGCTCCCTAGAAATTTCAATTATCTCTTCCAGATGTCAAGTATAAGTTTTCTCTTTGTTTTGATTTTCTCTAAAACTTCATCGTTGCTCACATGTTCAGTCCACGGTATCCTCAGAATCCTTCTGTAGAACCATATTTCTGTTGCTTCAAGTCTCTCCTCTATCTGTGAAGAGATTGTCCTGTATCAACTGCCATATAGAAGGACTGATATCATATAACAGTTAAGTACTCTTTTCTTTGTTCCTAATGAAAGTTTTTTTTCTTAATATTTTGCTTAGCTTTTGGAAGGCATCATTCGCTATCTCAATGTGCCTCCGGACTTCAGTGTTGCACTTTCCATCTTCTGTTAAAACACTTCCCAGCTATTTAAATTTTTGTACTTGTTTGATTTTGGAGTCTGTCTATATTTCTGAGATGAGGTATTATGTACATTATTTACATTATTCGGACTATTGTCCTCATCTTTGTTGCCATATTTATCACAACGTTTCGGCCGTTGTACGCTCTGGCCTTCTTCAGGTGGTTGGAATTTCGAACTGAACCCTTTATTTTGCTCACTGGGGTAGACAGTTCTAGTTCCATGTGCCATGTTTTAATGGATGTCAGTTATCAGTTATGTCCTGCTAATTTCCCTCTGAAAGGTCTCCACTGCCTTAACCGGGTATTCTTTGATTTTGGTATCCCCAATTTGTAATTTGCATGTTCGGCTCATCGTTTTTGCTAGCAACCATTCATTCTGTCTTCTTCTTACAATTGATATTTAGTCCTTTTTTATCACTTCCCGTCACCATGTTTAGTAGAAGTTCTGGAGTTTCTGTGTGTTATCAACATTGTGTTATCTACATATCTTATGTTGTTAAGAGTATTGCCACCAAAAATGAATCCTGGTTGGACTTCTATTTTTAAAAAAATACTTGTAAATCAAGTTTATTTTCTCTTGATTGAATGTCTGGTAAAAATGATCACAAATAAAACATTCAAAGATCTCGACTTTTAGTTGAATATTTTACAATTGAGCTTCAGTGCTTAAATCAGTAGATATTAATTTCAATATGGGAGATTTGTTTAACTATTTGAAGGTTTTGGCCATTATTTAAATTTCTAAGTTGAGTGACTATGTGTAAAAATATTATGTCTTTGGAATAAAAATTGAACCATAATTGTACTTACCTAAGTCACACCTTGACTGAGCCAATCTTTTACTTAGAAATGGGAACAAATCTACGAGAGAGAGATAAAATGAGAAGAAAAGAGATAGAAAAGAAAGAACAAGGTGAGAAAATGAGTAAAGAGAGAGGAGAGATAAAAATATAAAAGATAGTGTAAAGATAAAAAAAAGAGAGATTAAAAAAAGAGGGATTAAAAAAGACAGAGAGAGAAAGAGATATAAAAGAGATTAAAGAAGAGACTGAAAGAGAGAGATAAAAAAAAAGAGAAAAGGACATAAAAAAGGAGAAGAGAAATAAAAAGTCATAAAATGAAAGAAGAAAGATAAAAAAAAAAATACCATGATAAAAAGAAACAAAATTGTAATCAATTGCATAAGATTTTTCAGTGAAAAACATCTCCATTTTAAAAATGTACAAAAACTTTTAGCGATGTTTCTATGTGATCACTCCCCTCTCTGTCAGTTTCATTATTTTAATTACTATTCTTAAAACAAATTACTGTGGGATCAAGACAGATGCCTTGTTTTAGAAATCCAGAATATATATAAAACATTGTTCACTTTGTTAATGTATACAAGGATAAGTAAAAAATTATCTGCCCTTCTGCCATAACATATCTTCAGGTTTGTCACACTGCCTTCTCCTAATGTCTGCTTATAGTTGGTAGTATTATTGTGGTCACATGATCAAAGTTTGAGCTTGATCACATCAGTTTTCTTGCTGCTGTTACAGTGTAAACATGACCACTCTGCTAGCAGTGTTCACCAAGGAGGAACAAAGAGAAGTGATCTGATTTCTTTGGTTGGAAGGTGTGTCAGGGACTAAAATTCATTGAAGGCTTTTAACACAATATGGTGATAGTGCATTACAGTGTAGAAATGTGTACAAGTGGATTGAGAAGTTTAAAAGTTGCCAGACAAACGTGATGCACAAAAAAGGCACGACACCTGGTAACTTCCGCCACTGATGAGAAGTTTCAGCAAACTCAAGAGATGGGAATGGTGAACTGGTGAGTTATCATCGATGAAGTAGCATGTTCTCTGCAGATTCAGATCACTCCTCTTTATTCCTCCTTGGTGCACACTGCTAGCAGAGCGGCCATGTTTACACTGTAACAGCATCAAGAAAACTGGTGCAATCAAGCTCAAACTTTGATCATGTGATCACAATAGTACCAATGATAAGCATACGGTGTGACATAATTTTTGTCTTACACTTGTATTTTAGTAATGCAATCTTAAAAAATATAAATAAAAATATATATATTTTTTCCCATATTAAAATTTAAAAGACTATTTTGATATTTTAAAAATTTTTTTGTTTCTTTCATTCTAGGGTAAAGGGTGGTCCGAAAGTCTTGTTACCGTGACATAATATAATTTTCTTTTATTTCAATGCTCTGTGGGGTATTATCAAGGAGAGAGTTTCACATGAACAATACCAGAATACACATCAGTTGAAGGATGCCGTTCGGAGAGACTTTGCAGCAATCAACAAAGCACAGCTTCATAAAATATCACACAGAACTTGGTGCCACATCATTTTGTGCCACAAAAACGGCATTCATACAGACCTTCTCGATGTGTGACAGCATCAATAAAAAGTAAATAAACTAAATCCAATACATGTCCTTTGTATTACTGTGTTACTTGTTATATTGTTCTCATTACATTTTGGTAGGGGCGACAAGACATTCGGACCACCCTTTAAAATGCATATCAAAGTGTTGATCTTAAGATATGTTTTTAATTCTAATTTGTAGTTAAATACAATGTATTTGTTTTCAATTTTTCTAATTGATTTGTTCATCTACAGGGTGCTCCGAAAGTCGTGTCACCCCTTACGTAATATAATTTTCTATTTCAGATGACTGACACGAAAATTCCTACAGTACGACAGTGTCAATGAAAGGGAATCCAGTACACGTGCTTTGTATTACTGTATTACTTGTTCTATTGTTCGCATTACTTTTTGGTCATGGTGGTGAGTGACAAGACTTTCGGACCACTCTGTACTAAGTAAATTTTGTTATTAAAAATAATGAAAAATTAAATAGATTAATATGATGAAATGTTAAAACATTAAATAATTTGATATGGGGAACATTTATTAACTTACGTGGTGAAAGGCTATTGGGCCCCAATTTTGGTGCTAGAGGAACAGGTTTGGCATTGCTGAAAAAAAGAAAAAAAAAATTCATTAGAAAATTTGTAACATTGAATGGAAAAACTGTTTTCTTTATAGAAAACAGCACTTTTTAAACTGGTGAGTGATTCTAGAAGAGCAAAGACTTCTTTTTCTTACACATTTATTTATGTAAAAAAGAAAAATGAAATACAATTTTTCTAACTCAAGAAAACGATCAAAAATTAACAATGACAGCATATGTCTAGAAAACCAAAAGTCAAATTGGCATCAATTGAAAGAAAAGAAGCAAAAGTGAAAAAGGGTTAAAGAGTGAATGTAAACTGAAAAAAAAAAAAAAAACGATTAAAAAGATAAATGATCATAACATTCTACATGTATGCACATATGAACAGGGGGGGCGCATGTATATACTATTATATAAATAAATAAATAAAATAAAAAAAAAAGAGAAAGAGAGAACTAGCACTAATGAAAAGTGTATATGAAAAAGAAAGATCAAGAACTATAAGTAGTCAATTGCTGATATCTCCTGATGAGTGGACAGAGTAATTCCCAGATTGTCCATCTACAAAGTTCTGGAGTTGGGATGCTAGGAATTTTAAATTATTTTTTTTTTTCTAGCTGATTTTCATTTACATTCCTTTTCTTTTTCTTTCCATCATTTTTCTTAGTAGATATCCCACGCTATGATAATAGAAATTCAGAACTTCTATTATCAAAGTGTGGAATATCTACTAAGAAAAATGATGGAAAGAAAAAGAAAATGAAATCAGCTAGATTAAAAGAAAAAAAAAAATTTTTAATTCCCAGCATCCCTTGTTTGTACACATGTGTAGTCACACCATCATAACAAACTTTGTCTGAAGTCCTGAAGGACGAAACACATCAAAAAAACTTTTTCCACTTTGTCATACATTTTTCCTTGCCTAACAAGAAGACTCACATTAAATCTTTCTGACCATAGCTCAATTAGGTCTCATTTAAATACACATGGAAACCTACCAAACTCTATCTGTAACATAATTGTTAACAATACAAATATAATAACCTCATCCACATCTAAAAAAAGGATAAAAATAATGAAAGCATTATTAATAAAAAAGAAAAAGCAAACATTCAATAACCAACCATGAACATGGCCACAACATGCTGATCATGTTTGGAAAATAAAACATTCCTATAACTCTAGATACATACATAAAAGAAAAATCCATACATTCAGTTAAAAGTAAAAATAAAATCATCCTTCATAATGGCTTAAAGCAAGTGTGTCAAACTCATTTTAATTCTTGAGCCACATATCGACTTGATTTGATCTAAAACGGGCTGGACAAGTAAAATCATGGCATAAGAACCTATAAATAGCAATTTCAGAATTTTCCTTTTGTTTTGGTGTAAAGAAACTACATTCTGAAAATGTTCATGTTTAAAGAACAATTTTTTTTTTTTTTTTTACAAAAGATTGAACAAGTGAAAGTGGGAATTATTAAAGAAGATTGACTTATCACACTGCCTTTTAAATGTATACAATTTATAAATTAAAAAGAATTTAAAAACACTTTTATTATATTTTATCATTTATTTTCAATATGTTCCTGAAACTTGGCCTCTTTTTTTCCTTTATGTACATCAATATCAGGCGTCAAATCCTGAGTAGCAGCCAGTTTCAGGGTGTCATTTAGGTGTTTATTTGTGGGCCTTGAGCACAGCTTTGTTTTATTGATGCTCATTACAGAGAAAAACATGTTCATGAAGGTAGGTAGTCTCGAACATGCACAAAACTTTAGCAGCAAGATCTGTCAATTTGGGGGTACTTTGGCAAGAAATACTGATAAAATGTGTCCAGGCCCACCCAGGTAAATTTGTTTTTCAAATCTGAATCACACTGCAAGTCAGTCATTTCAATTTGAATGTTGACAGAAAGATCAGAGGTGTTGATTGTAAATGGCAAGCGAAAAACTGAAATTTATTTCAAGTTCATCAAAAATCCGAAACCATTGCGTAATCCCATGATATTGCTTTTGTACCAATTTACATCAACATCATCTGCAGTGAATTTAAGCGTTCAACTAGGCTGGCATCTCACTCTCACCCTTTCACTGTCGAAACTGTTAAATGTAGCTGTCTCTTCTACTCCAATAGCTTCATGTCTCGCACATCTCGCCTGTTTTCCTGATAGCTATAATCTCCAACTATTCAAATGTAATGTCAATCGACGTCTCCAGATGCCTTGATCTATCCCCTATCCTTCTCTTCATCCTTTCCTATTTGCTCTCGCTCCAACTCTCTGTAACCCCTTGCGTGCTAGTGGCTTTTTGCCTTGCTTGGGGTGAAACGCTTAAAAAAAAAAAAAAAAACACAAGGAAGTCACCACCTGACAATTGCGTCTCCCACAAAGTTAGCTTCAACTTAAATGCATATTTGCTTTCAAAATACCATGTGACAACATTTTTTTACGGCCTTGCAGCATTTTATTCAGATTATTCAAATGCTAAATCTTGCAGCCATTCTGGAGATTGAAATTCTAACACTGGTTTGCCCTTTTTCTCCATGAACTGTTCAATTTCTCAGCTTGACTACCTTACCTCAGTGTGATGTGGCAAGCTATAGATAATGCCTATATCAGTAAGATTATCAGACTAACAGATTCAGACCCTCTAGTTCAGATGAAAATAACAGTTCAGAAAACCACTTCCATGACATGATCCATTTTTAACAACTTGCAACACAATACCTCCTGGTGCAAAATGCAATGAAATATCCAAACACCACATCCTCCATTTGCAGTTTGTAATTTTTCTCTGAACTGTATCACAAAACCTGCCTTTTTCATTGATGGAACACCATCTGTAGGCATGCTAACATGGGCCCAGTCCACTCTGACACTGTCCAACACTCCGAGAGATGAAAATGTTGTTGTAGTGTCCATCATAGGAATCAACTCCAGGAACTCCTCAGTGACAGTCAAAGTCTCATCTATACCACAAATGAATAGGACCAGTTGCCCTTATCAATTGCAACCAAAAATGCAATAAATGACTTTGTGCTTCAGTTGCCTGTTCAAATCTGCAAAAAGATCTGAAATCCTATCTGCCACAGTGCTTCTCGTCAGGCTAATGTTGGTAAAAGTCTGTCTCTTCTCAGGCATACAATTTCTGCAGCCTTCAGCATGCATGTTTTCACAAACTTACCCTCACAGAACAACTTTGATGCTAATGATATTTCTCTAGCAACAAGGTAGCTAGCTTTTACTGCTGCCTGACCGATATCTTGGCTTTGGGTTAAAACAGACTCTTGTTTCTTCAGATCTGCTAACAATTTATTTACCTACACTCTTCGTATTTGTCCTTGCAAGTTATTGTATATGTTGGCATGATGAATCTCATAGTGGTGCCGAATGTTCGAGCACTGTTTGAATCTTTGAGCACTGAAACCTGGTGTGAACACACCAAGCACACAGGTTTTCCATTCACCTTCATGAATAAATAAGAAAAGGACCAATTTTCTTGAAATGATCTACACTCTGTATCCACTTTTCTATTTTTTTGACAAAGACATTTTGGGTCAGGTAAAACAGAACAAAATATTGACCTAAAAAAAAAAGAAAACCTGGTGTTAGTCATTGAATAAATTTAAAAATAAGTAAGTAAATATATAATATAATTTTTACACTTTTCAAAGTTATCTTGCAGGTCGGATGAAACCCTGCAGTGGGCCAGTTCAGACCTGCAGGCCATATGTTTAACACTCCTGAGTTAAAGACTAGATGAAAGCACTCGGACATACAAAGCATTCGGACATAATTTATGTCCAGAAAAGAAAAAATTATAACAACCCAAGGAAAATTAAATAAAAAACAAACACAGTACCTTGTCAGTTGTTTTTAGCAAAACTAGTATAAAAGGGGGATTGCTGCCTAAATACACAAATATATATGCGTGTGTGTGTGTTGGGGGGGGGACTATATGCTCAATGTATTAGCTGGTCACCATAATGAGTATGATCAAAATTTCAATTTAAAAAAAATACTACTTCCGAAATTTGAAAGAGATATTTTCTGTATCACCTGTAATGATTGCCACAAGGAATACACAGGAGAAACCCCAAAGAATTTAAAAAGATTACATGAAGACAAAAGGGGTCTTTTACAAAACAACACACTCACTGTATTAATTGCACACCATAATGAGCCTGACATTTAAAAAAATGCTACTTTAATTTACTTTAAAAGAGAAAAATATTTACTAAGACAAGAATATATAGAAAGTGATTTAATTGCTAAACCATCAACAGTAAATGTGGAATACTTAATAACAAAAGTGATAAAGATATAAACAAAAAGAAACTAAATGAAATTGATTGGCTAGGCTATATATCCAAACACAGATTAAATAAAAAATTTACATTTAAAAGTTTAAAATTTTAGTATTTCCTCTCCTTCATTCACATGCAGTTATATCACTTTAGTACAATGAAGTCCTAAATTATATAATGTGTTACACGAAACATTTTCTCCGCTTTGTCATTAATCTCATATAATTTATTCAAAAATTATAACATAAATATGTTATAAAATCACTACAAAAATAGCCATTTTGTTTCAATACTTTTGGTGTCTTATCAAGTGATGGCCACACTTATAAGACACCAGAAGTGTTGAAACAAAATGGCTATTTTTGTAGTGATTTTATAACATATTTATGTTATGATTTTCGAATAAATTATATTTGCTCTACTCTGTATTGAGCACTCTTTTAAGAATAGTATTTTTTGGTTATTGGAATTTATTCTGTACACCAATCCTATACTTGGATATGTGTGTGTGTGTGTGTTCATGCATATTGTGCTAGCATGAAATTACAAGTCATCATGACTGAAGGTTTGAGAAAGCTGTCCTTGTTCAAGAAATTGACCACACTAGAGTATGTGTTCTCTCCCAGAAACTTTAAGGTCCACTCAGCATAGTTGGAGTATAAACTACAGTGAACTCTGTAGGTTGCATGGGCGTCTGTGATAGGGATTTTCTTCTCAAATTTTATAAGAACAAGGATTCAATTTTTATAATCTTCCAGATTTTTTTAATATTTTTTTTTTTTACTCTAAAGAAAAAGAAAAAAATATCGACTTAATCCAAAAAAAGAAAAAAAAAATCCATCTCCATTATTATGAAAATCTGTTTATTTTTACAAAAATTAGAACCAGTTAAGTTTATGATTTGTAAAACTTTATGGGCGTATTACATAGAAACAAATTACATATAAATAATATATTTTCAAATAATATACTTTAACGTTAAAGTTTAACATTTTTTTTTATATTTATATACAAAAATATACAAAGCTTACATTTTTCTTCGAACAACTTTAAATGTTTATCAAAAGTTACCTCCCTTAGACAAGTATAGCCTCAAAAATAGTATTTTACGATTACAAAAGAAAATCGTTATAACTTTCCGTCTTTTCTCACCTTGGCTATTATTTCACAAAAGTAATTTAACCAAATTGACAACTTTTTAATATTAGAATCCTTAGCCAGCCGCTTCTTACCTGTGGGCTTTCAAAATTAATACCTAACGATTAATGCAACGAATAATGTCAATAGTTTTTCAATGTGAAAGAATAAAAAAAATTCTCTCTGATAACATTTTTTTAAAAGAAAACAATCATTTTAAATTTGATGAGTAAAATCAAATATACAAAACATTTGGTCATCAGTTAGTTTGTCACAATATAATTTCTAATTTGATTCTATAATTTAAATCACAGTGTAGACAATATTTTTTGTGATCATTTTTAATTCCATAAAAGAAATGATTGGTTAGATACTTGTAAAGGATAACTACAAAAATCATTTTTATGCTACATTCTGGGTAGATAAGATAGTTATGGGAGAGTGGTTTACCCAAATTCTATGGTATACTAGGCATGGGACATTCTCTAATATTTGGTGATTGGACAAAGGTGCAAAGAGCTTCATGTCTTTCCTAATTAATTTGGCAAACATTCACCTTTCTGTCCACAAGAAAAAAAAAAGTCAGTGTTAAGGACAGTTTTTCCCATGACGCTGCTGCTTTTGGCATCACTTGTTTTAAAAGGTGATGATTAGAATTATAATAAAACCTAAACATGAAAGTGAATTTATACACTTTTTTGGTTCTTGAGAATTGACAATAAAAATAATAAACAATATTTATTTATTAGATTGTTTATTTACATTATATATTGTTTATTAGAATGGTTGGTAAAACATTGGGTAATTTCCAATCGATTCGAACTTTATAAAATGGTAAATAATAAGGATTTCCTTAGAGTTGGTTCACATATTTTAATAATTTTGTAAATGTTTATAAATTTATGAATAAAATTTTTTTTTCATATTTATTTCTTTAAAAATTGATAAATGATGAATATTATATTACATTAATGACTTAATACAATTGTATTATTTTTTAGAATGTTGTAAATATAAAATTATTCTTGTAAATAAACAATCTAATAAATAAAGTGTTTATTTTTGTTGTAAATTCTCAAGAACAAAAAAAAATGTATAAATTTAATTTCAAATGTTTAAGTTTTATTACAATTCTAATCATCGCTTTTTAAAACAACCAACTTTGCTGAAAAGTGAAGGCCGTTTAAAAAAATTGTCAAAACCAAAAAATAAGAAGAAAACACTCTTTTGATTGTGTTTTTTGCAGGCATGAAGGTCCATGTTTGCCATTAATTTGATGCTTGACAGAAAATGAAATATTTTTAACAGTTAATATAAATCATATTTTGTTTGAAAGTTTAAGTTAAAGCTTTGTCATCATTCAAGTAATGAGTGAAACAAGTTTGCTCATATTTGCTCAGTGTATTCTTTCACTATCCTCAGCTCTACATTGTGAATGGTATTCTTTCGTCCTTATGTGCTGTGTCTCTTCAGGATGTAGAGGGATCATGGCTCTCCACAATTTCCTGTCCTATGTAGCTCTTAATAAATTTTATATTTTTTTATCTTTCCTAAACCTTGTTCAGCCATCCATTTACTCAAGCTTGCAAGGTAGGTTATACATTGTTTTCCTCCCTCCCTCTTTTAATCTATCCTGTGAGTATCACATTTTCCAAGCTTCCTTTCCTCATTATGTGCACTAGAAATTTTAACTGTCTCTTCTTAATGTTAAGTATAAATTTTTTACAAAGTTTTAAACAGAATCCTTCAACTTACCCACAATTCTTTCTTTTTTATCACTCAAAACTAGACAATAATTCACAAACTTAAATGACAAAGAATCAAGATGCACTTCTAGTTGTCCCAATTAGAATAGTGTTATATTCTGTGCTAAGGGAATAAATACTTAACACCAGGTGGATAATAGAAAAAAGGTTTATTGTGCACAACTAGTACAATATGAAATACGGTACAGTTATACACACAGGTCAATCTAGTAGTGAGTACCACTAATTGGAAAGTCGGACATGCTTGCGTCTTCTCTCTCTCCCACTCTTCCCCAGTCTCTCGTAGATAGTTGACTTTATAGGTACTTTACTACCTATAGTGTAATCATTCATGGCGGGGTGACTGGTTATTCCATTACATCAAGTAATGAAAATTATAACCTAGAAAAAGTATTCTATTCAGAGCTCCTTCAAGATTGAATACAAAATATCTCAGAGGATAGCCATAATAATGAATCATTTTTATTTTATTTTCAGCCATATCAAATTTGTATGCATCATTCAGAAACAAACAGAAAACAATTTTCTGGTACACAATTAAGGGACAATAGACAAGAACAAACATAAAACTTTAAAAAAAAATCTTGCAAAGTCTTGTTATTTAAATGCAGTAGGTATCACCAAATAATTTTTTAACAGAAGAGCACACCATTTTTTATATTACCATAACTGTTTTCCATCAGACCCAACCAAATCAAATAGGTCTCATTTCAGACAACACCCATCTTATCCAACAAAAATATTCTATAATGTCATGATTCAGTTCCTGCAACTCCATTCCAAGATGACATTTGGTATTTTGTTCTGTAAAAAAACTGCGTTTTATTTCCCTTGACATTTTGCAATGTGTTCCATAAGATTCAAAGATTTGAGGCTTGCATGGAACTCTTTTTCTGTTTATATTCCAAAAATGGTAGTATGCCTTGAAGATAATTCCAAAATATGTTACTATCCTCTTTTGGAAAAGAAATCTTTTATTTCACATGCACAGGTAGGGTAAAACCTAACATTACCCACAGGCTTTGTTGACATGTTATTTTGCTTATACCTTCATTTATCACAAAACAATTTTACAAAGACGTGCTCTCCCTGACACCATTGACCTGATTATCCTCATTGGGTTTAACAATCAATACTATATCTGACATCTTTTTTTTTTTTTTTTTTTACATTATATGAAATAAAAAGTTATAATATACTCTGACATATAATGTACACTCGTAATTTGTCAATGAATATTTAAAATAAATAAATAATAATATTCAGCCATACTTAATACCTTCTTTTTTACATTTTAATATTATTTTGATCTGTAATCATAATTTAATCATTTATATTTTATTCTGGGTCATCAGTGATTCAGACAGGGGTTTAAGAATTGGTCTCGTATTAATAACCCTACCATTGAGATATAAGACAAGAAGAGATAAATTGGGTAATGACAGAAAAAAATTAATATTTGGAAATAATGGCTACCCTAATAACTATTCAGATTTTGTATGTATGCTAAAGTCATGACACACTTTGTTTATGGTCCGTGTACAATGATTTTTAACACAATTGTTTTGAATCATTATTTCTGTTAAATCCAGTGTGCACAGGTGGTGTAACCCTGCTCAGGTTGAGAAATCAGTTAGCCAAGTTAGAGTTCTTGTTGGGATTGTTACTTACACTTTCACAGAGATACTCTTGGGAAAGGTATGAATCCATCTCTTACCCCCTCACCCAGCTATAGGTTAAATAACAGGGTAAATGGGATTCTCTAGCTGTGGTTGGCAATCAGAGAAGGAAAAGTGAATTCAAAACAGTATGAGTCCATATTGGGGCATATACTTGAACTGTAATTAGAGTCTGTTTAGCATAGTTGCAGTATAAACCACAAAGTTGGTTCTACTGGAATTAAGGAAACACAAATGGGCTTGAGCACATAGCATAATCGGTAACAACCAGCCAGGCTGAAGATGAGAAATCACATTGATTTGCAGTGTGTTTTCAAATTGAAACAACTCTCATAGTGACAATGTTGTTGAGAAGGAGGAAATCCAGGCTATCAAATAAGAGAAGGCAGTAGAAACTGAAAGGTTGTAAGTTTGATGCTCACTAGGTGTCCCACTAACTTGGGATGGTGCTAGACTAAGTTGAATTAACTACTTGGGCATTTCAATGGCTAGCAAACTTGCCTAACAGACTATAACGAGTTTGATCCTGAAGACTGTAAAAGAGAGGGGGAAAACTGGGAAAGAGAAAGGGGTGAGGGGGGACCGGGAAAGGGAGAGGAGGGGGGACTGGGAAAGGGGGAGTGGGAAAGGGAAAGGGGCAGGTGAAAGGAGAGAGAAAGAAGCAGGGGAAGGAGAGAGAAAGGGGAAAGGAAAAGAGGGGGAGTGGATGGGGAGAAGACTGCGCGAGAGGATGAAGGAGAAGACTGGGGGAGAGAAAAGGAAGAGAGACAATGCAAAGTATAGAAAGGAAGAGGAGGAGAAATGAAGTGAAAGTATGTGTGAGTGCATGTGTGTGTGTGTGTGTGTGTGTGTGTAGACTGCAAAAGGAAGTAGATGCATCTTTTTCTTAAATAAAGTAGAGGAAGAAAGACAACAATTTGAATAAGGACCAACAAATTTAAGTTGGTGCTTGCAAAGGTGTTGTGTACAGACAGAATAAACTCCAGCATTCACATAGTTTCATTGATTTTATAGAGTTTAACACTTGGATGACATGACCTGTAGATAGATTAGCAAAAATATGTTAGCTCAAAATGAATGAATATGTCTTTCCTATCACCTTTTTCTGCAGAATCAATACTCGGCCAGGTGTCTAGAGATTACCACTATTCTGCAGCTGAAGTGCAATATTATAAAGGGGGGGGAAATGGTACTACCTTCCCATCATTAGATGGAATAATAGACAGACAACAGCATTAAAAAACTAAACAAAAAAACAAAACACCCACTTGGCTAGAAGGAAGACTTGGACAGTGAGAAAACCACGTTATAGAATGACTCAGATACTGTCCCTCATACCTTCTAAATTTATTAAGAAAATATGAAATTATTCTAAAATATGCAGAAATTGTAGTTCTTATCACTGAACTTGCTTCTTCAAGATGGGGAATTGAGCCAGATCGAACTAATACACACTTGAGGCATACAAAAATAATTTTTGCTTCTATTCATGCATCTCCATTTTCAATGGAATCATTTCATTGGTTTTCTTACAAAAAACCCGCCACATACACACACACAAAATAAAGTTTATAAGTTCTTTTGACAACAACTAACAATTTGTATCAATATCAAGATTGTTGTCAAATTTATGTATTTGTAAAGGCCATGTCCATTCAAAACATTGGCATTCATGGTTATCCACAGCCTCCTTTTCTTTAATACCAGTGAATTACTATAAATGCCTTAGGAAAAATAGTGGATTGGTATCTTGTTGGCATTTTGAAGGTTCAAGTCTGTCTTACTATTTTACCACTAGGTGGGTGAAGTGAGAGAGAGAGAGAGGAAAAAGGAAAGAGAGAGGTGGAGAGGAAAAAGGAAAGAGAGAGGTGGAGAGGAAAAAGGAAAGAGAGAGGTGGAGAGGAAAAAGGAAAGAGAGAGGTGGAGAGGAAAAAGGAAAGAGAGAGGTGGAGAGGAAAAAGGAAAGAGAGAGGTGGAGAGGAAAAAGGAAAGAGAGGTGGAGAGGAAAAAGGAAAGAGAGAGGTGGAGAGGAAAAAGGAAAGAGAAAGGTGGAGAGGAAAAAGGAAAGAGAAAGGTGGAGAGGAAAAAGGAAAGAGAAAGGTGGAAAGGAAAAAGGAAAGAGAAAGGTGGAGAGGAGAGAGGAAAGGACAGGGAAAGGAACAAGTGCAAGAAAAGAGAAAAGAAAAAAGAGAAAAGAAAAAAGAGGAAAGGATAAAAAAGTGGTGTATGGCAGACTGATTCTTACAATTTTAGATGCATTGTTTCAATTCTTCTGTACCAAACTAGATCAGAAAAATACGATTCTGATATTGTAGATTTAGTAAAGTCGTGAATATGTCTTTGTAAAGAGTGGCCTTATTATTTTAGTTTCAAATTAGTATTTCCCCAGCCTCAAATGGTTCCGGTAATCAAACTTAATAAATACAGAAAAACCTCTAATCTGGTGTGCTACAGTTCTATATACTACCACTAAGCTATCTTTGCAAGACTCGTAATATCTGATATTCTTCGTAAACTTTCTTAAACGTTTTTTAAAAATTCTTTCCCTTGTGAACCACTGATCATTAATTTCATGTCAATAAGAGTGTCTTAAAGGTGCAAATTTCTTTGTCACACACTGATAATATCATCTCTAAGTTCCAGAGCATAATGACGACTACAAACACTACAACTTTTTTCACGTGAATGTAAGAATGATCCCATGCTGACGATAGCCTAAGATACAAGCATAAAGTGGAGTGATGTCTGAGCCAGTTTTCTGATCAAAATGATGCCCTCTGTCTTGATCTGTATGTGGAGGCTGCAATTTGTAATTGATGAATAAAACTGAATGAACACAAAGAATTAGAAAGAGACAAATACAGGGAACAACCTATAGACACAATTTTGTGTGTGTGTGTGTGTGTGCACTTTGTAAATCTTTGGAAATGTAAAGAAGCAAGTTGGTGAACCATGCAAGGAAGGCAGTTAATTGCTGCCTATTGCTACGAAAGGGCATTCACTGTAGCAATAACTGTTTATTACTATTATTATTATTATTATGATTACTCTCTTGCTACCAAAAGCAGGCCTGCTGCTGCTGACAATTCCAAACTGCTATTAACCATAGAATCCATTGATTTCCTCCCCTCTACTCCCAAACACCAACTCACTCCCCACCACCAATGCCAAATGAGCCAACTCCACAGTATTTGGCCTTTTTGTGCAATTTAGCTTCAGCACATTGCCATAGAAACGGGCTAAATTTAGCAATTCTTAAAGGGTGGTATGGCACACATGCTGTTTTGACTCGGAATAGCATTTGAATGCTTTGAGATCATCCATAGAGTCACCGGCATGTTGGGGGGGGGGTGTTGAAATGGATAGGTGAGAAAGTGGGAGAAGAGGAGAGAAAAACAATTAGAGGAGGAGAGAGAAAAGAGTTGAGAGAAGAAAAAATGATAGAGAAGAAAAGGAGGTATTAGAGAGAGAGGGAGAGAGAGCGAGCAAGAAGAAAAGGAGGTATTAGAGAGAGAGAGAGAGAGCGAGCAAGAAGAAAAGGAGGTATTAGAGAGAGAGCGAGCAAGAAGAAAAGGAGGTATTAGAGAGAGAGAGAGAGTGAGGAAGAAGAAAAGGGGAGCAGAGAGTGCAAGAATGAGAGATAAATGGGGAGGTTCGAGACGGAGAGATACAGGGGGAGGTTCGAGACGGAGAGATACAGGGGGAGGTTCGAGACGGAGAGATAAAGGGGGAGATTCGAGACGGAGAGATAAAGGGGAGGGGAGACGGAAAGATAAAGGGGGAGGTCTGAGACGGGGAGATTCGAGACGGAGAGAGAAAAGGGGAGATTAGACGGAGAGATAAAAGGGGGAGATCTGAGACGGAGAGATAAAGGGGAGATTCGAGACGGAGAGATAAAGGGGAGATTCGAGACGGAGAGATAAAGGGGAGATTCGAGACGGAGAGATAAAGGGGAGATTTAGACGGAGAGATAAAGGGGGAGATTCGAGACGGAGAGATAAAGGGGGAGATTCGAGACGGAGAGATAAAGGGGGAGATTCGAGACGGAGAGATAAAGGGGGAGATTCGAGACGGAGAGATAAAGGGGGAGATTCGAGACAGATGAATAAGAGCGGGGAGGGGAGAGAGAAAGACACTGAAGAGCGGGAGGGGAGAGAGAAAGACACTGAAGAGGGGAGGGGAGAGAGAAAGACACTGAAGAGCGGGGAGGGGAGAGAGAAAGACACTGAAGAGCGGGGAGGGGAGAGAGAAAGACACTGAAGAGCGGGGAGGAGAGAGAGAGACGAGGAAGAGCGGGGAGGAGAGAGAGAGACGAGGAAGAGCGGGGAGGAGAGAGAGAGACGAGGAAGAGTGGGGAGGAGAGAGAGAGACGAGGAAGAGCGGGGAGGAGAGAGAGAGAGACGAGGAAGAGCGGGGAGGAAAGAGAGACGAGGAAGAGCGGAGAGGAGTGAGAAAAAAGATGTGAGAGGGGAAAGTGAAAACTGTATCACTTTGTGTGTGTGTGTGTGTGTGTGTGTGTGTGTGGAAGGCATGGAGCAAACTCTAACTGAGGCAATTTCAATTGAGATAATTGTCAGGTTAGCAAATGGGTTGTATTAAGAACGAAGTGATAATTGGACCAAATATGGAAGCATTTTTTGCAAGAAAATAATGTATGAATTTTGAGATTTTGGTAAAATGGGCAAAAAACAAAAAAAAGGCGGGGAGGGCAGATTTCCACCTAATCCTGCAATCTACGATCATCTTAATTAGGAGCACAAAGTCTAGACATTGATAGAATTCTAGATTTACTTAAGGGAATCTGGTTTACACATTCCATTGTCTCAAAAAATAAATAAATAATGACTTCAATCAGTATAAAAATTGCAAAGAGCATTTTGTGAGTAAAGCATGTGATACTTACTAGCTGACTGACATTTGTAGCCTTGTGTCAGACTTTGCAAAGATAAAGGAAACTTTATTTTTACACATTGGCACTCTAAGAGTTAGTGCTGCATAACATTACCGTTCCTTGTAACTGACAATGAAATGCTTAAAATATCTTTGCAATGTCAAGGAATTAAGCAAAGGAAATAACAACAAAAATAGAGAATACAGTATAAGCAGTATTTTAAGCCCTTTTACAGTAATTTAGTAATGGGATCTCAACACATCCCAATTTTCAATAAAAAAAAAAAATTTTTTTTCTAATGAATTTCATAATTCATTGGATTTCATAATGCATTGAAAATTTTTGCCACGTTTGGTCTTGTGTTTCCTCCATGTATTTAGAATTTCTTGACAAACGCTAAAAAAGAAGATGCAATGTTATTGGTTCTGACCTGGCATCTTGCTTTTAGCCACTTTTTCAACACCATAATATATTTTCTCTGTGCCTTTTCTAAAAACATTTTAATGCAATTGTTGAGCTTTCCTCTTTGGCACCTTGAATTTAAGTGTAATACTAGATCGGCAGCTAAAGTCACATTTTACCATTGAAATTGCCAAGTGTAACTGAAAATTCTATTCTAATATATATGTCCTTATTTCTGAGATGAGGTATTGTAATTATTTACATTGTTCAGAGTATTGTCCTCATCTTTACTGCAATATTCACAAAATTTTGGCTATTGTACACTCTGGCCTTCTTCAGGTGATTGGAATTTCAAACTGAACCCTTTATTTTTTCCAAGTCATTTAAAAAGAAAAAAAAGGATCACATATTTCATATTAACCAAATCCTTTTTGAGCTCTGTTTACTTTTTAATTTTGATTTCATTTTATCTTAGTTACTGTATGTATCCATAAAAAAGTGATTCTTTGCTTTTTTTAGCCAAGATTCCAGGTGCTTTTTGAGGAAGGCTATATAAGCATCTGCAGTTATTTTTGTGACGTCAGACACTCTCCACAGACCAACCATGATACCTCCAATAATACCAGCCCAAATCATAAAAACTCCTCCTCCTTGTTGGCATATCAAGTGTTGATGACTATCTTGTCCATTTACAAGCCAACCTTTGCTCCAACCATCAGGGCTATCATATGTGAACTTTCATCTGTGAACAGAACTTTCAAGAAATTGACCTCCATGTTCTTCTTTGCTCATTTGCATTTGTTTGTGTACATTTGTCAATTGAGGCTTTGTCACTGGTTTCACTGATGTCCTGACCTTTTTCAGAAGATGATAGCGAGTACTTCTGAACACTGTTCTTCTCCAGTGATCCTGAAAAGTGCTCCACTCGTCAGGCCTGGGTTATTTACAGTTTCACGTTTCATTCGTGACAAAGAACGTCGGGAAACAACCCTCAAGTAACTCTTATTGGGCCTCTTACGTACCTTCATAGGAGCTGCAAGAAATCTTTTCACAGTTTGGTGATATCTTCCAATTATTTTGGATATTTCTAATGTAGATTTGCCTTTGGAAATTTGAGATGTTTTAATATCTTTCTCAGAAGAGGTCATGTCACATTTGCGACCCATAATTGTATGATTATAATGACACTTGTTTATAGTCTGGAACACTTCTATATCATGTTAATATTGCAAATGGCCAACATTTGTTTCCTGTTGCGCAGTAAAATACAGTTTTTATACAGGTGTGAAAATGGTCATTAAATTCTGATTGGTAGACAAAAATGGAAAAATGTCACCTCATTAATAATTTGAAATGCAATGTACTGTACATGCACATTAAGTACATGTAAATCACTCATAATACAGATATATGCATATACATTACATACACACATTCAAAGTGACAGGATGTGATGAACAAAAAAAACAGCTTTTCTTTTATAATATAGTAGAATTCAAACAAAGTCCAAAACTTTATTTCTAAGGAACAACTATTCTGTTTTTGAGAGTAGTCCTTTGCCGTTCTCAAAAGAGAATGTCATTTTGTTGAATGACAAACAATACAGCTATTTTATGTGTCATAGTCATTTGCAAATCAATTTAGTCTGACACAAGGCTATAATACTAGAGCACCTAGTGAAGAGCAGACCCAAGAAATGACTTGGAAAACTAGTTTGCTCAACATGCAACAGATTTTATTTAGATTAATTTGAAATCCATTCAGTCTTCAAGTGTTTTCGCATTTTCTTCATAATGCATTGTGAAAACGAGACAATAATTAGCGCAAGGTTATTTACAATATCATAATTAGGCACCTGCAAAAATCTAAATCATGACACCAGCACAATGGTCTATCAGATGAGCTTCTTAAACATCACATCATTTAAATATACCTACCTATGTTTCAAAACCTTTCAGGAAAAAGGAAACGAAATCAATAATAATTATTTTTAAACACTCATTCAATTTGGTCAAAGTATGAAGGATTATTTGGCAGACAATGTAACATTTACAAGTTAAAAACCATATCATAACAGAAATTTGTAAATACTTTATTGATTGATCTCAGATGAAGCCACAATAGTGGAACATTGAATAAGGATCAAGTTAACAATGGCCTGCAAGATTGGCTTACATGCCATCATTGTATATAAAGTGCTCTTTATAAATATTTAATGTATAACTTTTGAACACACTTATACGAAAATGTCAAGTTGCATCAAATAACGTTTCCTTTTGTGGTAGCAATGAAAGAGCTAACAGATGAGATAAAAAGTATGGCTGATAATTTAAAAAGTAAAAGAAAATCTTGGTGAATTCTTTTCTTTTGATATCTTAAATACATTAAAATGTGTGTTCAGAATACGCTCAAGCCAAAATTAATTCACACATATCATTTCAAGCATAGATGAAATACTTTCTTATTCTAACTTCAAAGAATTAGACATTTTAACATGTTTGTTGCAACCGGGGATATTTGAACCCTTACACAATGCTGTAATGTCACATATGATTTTTGATCGATTCATTCATTTTCTACGGGTTATTAACCCTTTGCAGGTTATTTAAAGCCAGAAAATATTCTTACATTCTAAGAATTTTCTTTGAGATAATAATGGTTTAATGATACAAGTCTTATTAATTAACACATAGATGGGGGTGGGGTGGGAAGAAGAGTTAGATTCATACCTTTCCCAAGGTTATTTGTGCATAAGTTAATATAAAGAATCCAGCTGGAATTGAAACTCAACTCTCTTATTCACAATTCCGAGCCACTATCAATTACACCACCCACACATCCAAGCTTACAGCACCTGATATTCCTAAGTGGTCACTCATCAAGTTACTGACTGGGCTTGACATTGCTTAACTTTGGTGATTGTATGGGGACCAGTGTTTCAAGGGGATATGACTGTAAACTCACACTGATATCAGTAGTGGAGTGGAACTGCTTAAGATTTCGTTAAAACTGAGTATGGTCCCTTTAAAAAAAAAAAAAACACAAAAAAAACTGAGTATGGTTTCTTTAAAAAAAAAAAAGAAAAAAGAAAGACAATTTCTTAAAAAAAAAAAAAATCATTTACTTCAGTTAGGTGGGGGTCGAGTTTAAAAACAGACATACGCATATACATATAACACCACAAAAATAATAAACAGCAACTTTAAATTCTCGAGGCCCTCTATATCAAAAGCAACCAACCAACACTGGACAAGATTTATTACAAGTACTGTAGCAATGTTTTCAAATGCATTTGTGTTGAATAACATTTAACACCATTTTACAATTTACCATCTCTGGTTATCTCCCTTGCATTGGGAATGCTTGTTTACAAAACATTGTAACTACAATTAATTTTAAAATAATTTTCATTATAACAATGCATTTACATAAATGCGTGTTTACAAAAATCACCACTACAACAATTACAATAAGTTTGTCTTTGCAAATCCCCCCTGAGGATGGTTTTTGAGGAGATCAAAGGCACTTGGGTTAACAAGAACTCCGGCACCTTCCTTGATGAATTTCAACTTAGAACTAGAATGGATTATTGTAAAATAAATAGACATATGTCGATTAATTTATGAAACATGCTTGAATATATATATTCCAAAGACTGTTAATTTAATAATTCAAAAAGTTAGAGATCAATCTACAAATTCTATTGATCTTATCTTTCTACCTCGGATTTGGTTTAACTAGATGGTCACATCTGTTTTTCCCAAACACAGATGTGACCAATTTACATAAATTCACTGCACCATGGGTTACTAAACTTCCAACTTAACTTTACATTGAATTATTGATCTTTCCCAAACAATCATTTGCCAAATAGTGATGTTGTAAAATTTAGTTTAAACAAATGATAGAGAAATATTTTTTAGTAAGCATTGAGCCAATACAAGGCCCAAGGGCCACTCAAGGTAGAAGGTTTACTGAATGTGGAGAAGTTAAAGGTTTGATTTGGCTTATTTAGTTTAATGAGGCATATCAACCTCAAAGGATTATTTAATGCCAACAAGAATTTTTGGATATATTATGTCTATTTTACAATAATCCATTCTAGTTCTAAGTTGAAATTCATCAAGGAAGGTGCCATAGTTTTTGTTAACCCAAGTGCATTCGATCTCCTCAAAAATCATCCTCAGAGATGAATTGCAAAGACAAACTTATTGTAGTTGTTGTGATGATTTTTATAAATACATATGAATAGAGTATGTATTCTTTGTAAGGAATCATTTTGTAGATCAAGTTTCATCGACATATATTGTAAAAGGGGGATTTTGTCAAGTGTCAAATGTATTGCTGGTAATAACTTTTCCTTAAAAAATTGGTCACAAAACAAGGTAGGTAAGCATAGAAGGTAGAAAGTGCAATTCTTGAGAATATGTAGAAAGATAATGACTTGAAGAGATTAAGAGTGTTGTCATCAGGGAAGCATTCACTTACGAGACTTTTCCACAAAGCAACAGTTCTTTGGAAAAAGCTATTTGAACAGAACTTCCTCCTTACTAATGGAATATAAAATGGATGGAGATGATTTGTCTGTATGTATAGGGCATGGCAGGTTTTAGCTTTGAAGGTCAAAATTGGTGGAACTAAGGAAGGTTTTGGATAATGTTGTCTTAGCAAACTAAATGATGCAACATTAAATAAATTAAGTCTTCTATTTTAATATGGTCAGAGAATTGTACAACAAAAAATAGAAATTTAATAAAATTGCATTTTATTTCTTCAGATACTGCTGCCATCTAATGTAAGCCAATGAAAAGCTATATAGAATGCAAAAACTTATATGAAGTTAAAACTTCAAAGCTATACGGAATAGAAATTGTAATTTTGTTCAATGTCTAGTACCAAAGCATATGATGTGCACCTGAGAGAATGCTTCCCTGTTGACTATCTTAAGCTCACCAAGTCAAGGGTCAACCATTATCTATCCTATATATCCTCATAATCTGCCCTTTTTACCTTCTTTTATGTCCATACAACAACTTCATTCAGTAACCCTCTATCTTGATTGGCTCTTGAGCCTTGTATTGGTTGAACACTTAGTAAAAAAAAGAAAAAAAAGAAAAACTGGTTTTATTATGAGTTACTCTTTTTTCAGGAGGCAGATGCCTGAAACCTGTTCAATGGGATGACCAGGAGACGGAAACTCTAACAGAAGACTTTTACTAGATTTAAATTGATTTATTTATAGCCCTAAAATATTTTCAGATTGTAAGAATTTTTGCGGACAATGATTTATATATCATACTAATTAACCCATAGCAGAGAGGAAAGCAGTGGATTCATACCTTTTTCCAAAGGTATTTGTGTGTAAGTGAATATAATGATCTTGACTGGCATTGGAACTCAGCTTTCTAATTCTAAGTTGTTATCCATTACACTATATGCCCATCCAAGTTTACAACACCTGGCATTCCCAAGTGGTTACCCATCTAGGTACTGAGCAAGCTTGACATTGCTTAACTTTGGTGATCATACAAGAACTGACATTTCAATGTGATATAGTTATAAGCGTGACTTTTACAGCCATTGTCCGACATGATAGGTCATGCCAATAATGTTTTGGTTTAATAGGTAATGGTAGTAATGTGCATGCAGCACTGCACCTTCAAAATAAATCCATAAATCTGATGAATTTCTACATTCCCAGAGGTCACAGTGTAAAAGCAGATCACACTCTGGTTAACAGGTCTTCTACAGATGCCATAGAACAATCAACCTTTTCTTCATGGGCTCTACTAGCCAAAAGTGGACATCTGACAGGTATGAAATCTCTTAAAATCTTTAAAAACAAACAATACTGCGAAAGATTGTGGAATAGAGTTATGTGCTTAAAGGTTAGATTTGATCTTCTGCAAAGACATTGAGTTCTTGTAACTTGATTAGAGCAGCCGGTATGATTAGCTGAATTTTCCTGAAGCAAAAGAGATCAAAATTCCAATCTCTCCAAGAATACATGCTTCGTTTCCTGATCTTATAGTCTGCTTGTAATGTAAATTGTTGAGTGGAGTAAAGTTGCTATAAAAAGTAATTGGAAACTGTAAATGACAGTAAATATGAGTCAATTATAATAACTGGGAACAAATGCCAATGTGGCCATACCTGCTGATTGCAATAGAAAAAGATCAGCAAATAGGAAAAAAAAAAAAAAAGATCAGCAAATAGGAAAAAAAAAAAAAAGATCAGCAAATAGGAAAAAAAAAAAGATCAGCAAATAGGAAAAAAAAAAAAGATCAGCAAATAGGAAAAAAAAAAAAGATCAGCAAATAGGGAAAAAAAAAGATCAGCAAATAGGAAAAAAAAGATCAGCAAATAGGAAAAAAAGATCAGTAAATAGGAAAAAAAGATCAGCAAATAGGGGGAAAAAGATCAGCAAATAGGGAAAAAAAGATCAGCAAATAGGAAAAAAAAAAGATCAGCAAATAGGAAAAAAAAAAGATCCGCAAATACTCTGAATTGAATTTTCCGATTGCCAGATTGTGGAAACTGCTCAAGAAAAATGTTCAGGTCATCCCAGTAGTGATTAGAGTACTTGGCCTCATCCCATTGAATGGGTCAACCAACTTGGTGTAAAATAAACTTTGCGAATGCTACAAAATTCTACCTTAGTCACAGCAAACACGTTTCAAAAAGTAATGTTGTTTGAGGTCCTTGTGACTTGACAGACAGTATCTTCCTTAGTACTTAAAACATCTACAACAGTAACATGAACATTAAAAATAAAGAATAATGAATACCTACATTATGTTTAAGTAGTTCATCAAGTAAAAAGATTCTAAGCTTCAACCTTTTATTATATCTAAATAATACTCTTGTCAAACATTATAACCACTTCTGCAATAGAAAGTGCATTAAAGGAATAGTCTTGTTCTCATGACAAAATACTAGCTTAACGAATACTTTCCAATGTAGCAGCCATATATTTAACAGATGAGGAGATATACTTTAACCTGAAATCCCAATTATGCTGTGACGACAACTTGTAATGAAAACCCTATAATGTTGATAAGATCAACTTGATTATGCGTCACATTCCAGATTGAATTTACTTCCAAATTTCAACAGTTTTAAGGTAACTCAAATTTAAATTCATATAGTGAGTTATCTATGCAAGTTAACTCAGAGGTCACATATATTTTAGTCAGATTACATGCATAGCAGTACTATTTTAGAATCAGAAAGAAACGGCTGAAATTTATAGAATATTTAATGAGTAAGGAAAGCTTGTAAAATTTCACGCTCACAGGACATCTTGAAGTGGGACGGCGAGAAACAGCAAGTGACCTACTTGACAAACTTGTGTAAAAAAGATGGTTTGAAATCGCAAAGAAAATGGCAGGCATAGTAAAAAAGACAATCATTGCTAAGAGCATGAAGGATTTACTTGAATTTTAAAGTCGGATTTTTTTTTTCTTTAATCATTTCACCCCAAGCAAGGTGATAATGCCACTAAGATGCACTGGGGTGGGGGTGGGGGGTTGGTTACTGGAAGTGAAAGAGAAGGAAGAAGAACCAGAAATCCAGTCGTAAGCAGGAAATAATGGATAAACCTCTACACCTGTTTAAAAGACAAAAAAGAGAAAAAAAAGATGACAAATTTCAGGTTTGTCAGTTGTATTTTTACTTTCATTTAAATGCCATTGAGAAAGGATAGACACTGTCTCTTCTCCTTCAGCTAAGTTTAAATAGTTTAAACAGTATGGTTGACTTGACTCTCTAACTTTGGATGGAAACCAATCTAAAAGATGGAAAGTGTAGGGAAAGCAACAGAGAACTACTCCTTCATCTTTCCTAATGTTGCATTGCAACTCACATATAATAAAAAGGAATCATGAATGAGTCATGATCGTTTATGCCCTAAAGGGATGCAGCATAACAAAAACAAAAACAACTTCTTAAGCAAATG